TTCCGCTGGCCATGCAGCACTTCTATTCATGTGTCTCCCAGGTCTGTCACTGCTGGTGTCCGCCCTTTTGCGCTGGCAATGGGTGCTGCCGCCCTTTTCCGCTGGCCATGTAGCATTTCTATTCATTTGTCTCCCATGTGATTTCTTTCTTTTTGTCTTTCAGGCTTGGTGCCTGCACTGCTGTTTTCTGCTCTGTCCGCTGGAACAGGTTCACCTGTGGAAGGTTCTTGCTCCTTTGAAAGGGGTGCGTGACTGTCTCCGGGATTGCATTCCTGCCACACTGTGTAACTCTCTCAGCTTTGTTTTCCTTTTCGGACAAGCGTTGGATGAATGACCAGATTGGATTTCGGCGGCATACGTCAGGCACCAAAAATCAATTTTGTGTCACATCCTTCGCTCCTCATGCCTTTATTTCTTGTCCTCACGTGGTCAGCTCCGCGCTGATTGAGCAGCATGACCAGCATCATGTTCGCACTTGAAGAATAATTCACCAAAAGGTTTGCTGTTAGGGCTTCTCAATTCTTTCTTAAGATGTGTCCGCCCGCTCTGTACTGCTGTGTCCGTCTCTGCCTTGCAATCCTTTACATTTGTCTCCCAGCTCTGGGCTGCAGTGGCCGCCTTTGCCTTGCAATCCTTTGTCTCCCAGCTCTGGACGTCGCAAGCTCTAGTTTCGATTTTGAAAAACACAAGCTGTTTGGGGTCTACGGTGGTGTAATTTCCGTTGGCCATGTAGCATTTCTATTCATTTGTCTCGCAGGTCTGTCGCTACTGGTGTCCGCCCTCTTCCCTTGGCCATGTCGCCTTTCTGTTCACTGCTGGTGTCCGCCCTTTTCCGCTGGCCATGTAGCGTTTCTATTCATTTGTCTCCCAGGTCTGTCGCTGCTGTGCATCATTTCTATGCATTTGTCTGCCAGCTCTGTCACTCGTGGTGTCCGCCCTGTTTCCGTCTCCGTTGGCCATGTAGCATTTCTATTCATTTGTCTCCCAGTTCTGTCACTGCTGGTGTCCGCCCGCCCCTTTTCCGCTGGCGATTGTCTCCCAGGTCTGTCAGTCAGTGGGCCGCCGGCCAAGACTCCTTCGGGGAACCCGGGGAACATCCAGAGGGAACAGCCTCATCAGCAGGACAATCCACATCATCTGTCAGACAACCGGGGTGGTCGTGCATCAAGGCGACAGAGGCAACGCAACTTGTGGACCAGCCATTGTCGGACAGACTGGAGAGCTGCCGGTCCCTACGAGTATGAAGACGGACACAAGATCTTGGACCTTGGAAAGGATTGCCGCCGGACTCAATCGACCAGATGTTTCAATTCCGGATGGACGCATTGAAGGAAGTCCCTTTGATTGAAATGACTTTTTCGTGGAAATATTTGTCTTCCGTCAGTCTACTGTTAGAACCATGTCATGTGCCATGTTCAATTTTGTTGTTGTAGTGAGTGGGGTTTTTTTCCAACATAGTCATTAGTTTGTAAGTTAGAAAAACAGCAGCAGAAACGGACTATTCTTTGGTATGCTTGATATTACAACTTTGAGTTGAGGCGCGGACGTTTATTCTTCGGAATCTTCCAGGGACGGCCAGCATGATGGTTCGGATGGACTGCTCTGAGGACATGTGGGTTGCAACTTTTCACAAGTAGTGAACTTTTGGTGTTGTTTCTATTCTACCGCCAGCTGTTCCTTTGTTTGCGACATGCTGCTCCAGCTGAGGCGGCGGCCAATACTGCCGGAAAGGGCCCTTGGGGCAGGCGTTTGCTGTCGGACGTGACGGACCAGCTCTCTCGTTCTTTGGCTGCAGGAAAGCCATGGGACCATTTTCGGGCTGCCTTGTTTAAATTTTTGGCCAGCAAGTCAAGACAGGCAACGCACCCTATGAGCCACTTGCATTGATGTTGGTGGGCAACCTTTTTTTCTTTGCCATTGTTTTTGTTTCTAGTTGTTTGGATTCCTTTTTGCTTCGTTTGATTGTTCCCTGACGTTCGTGGAAGATCGACTGCTCGATGCACTTGGCCCACAACAGCGGTGCGGGAGAGGAGCCAAAGAGGAAAACCGGGTGCTACGGGTCTGGACAGGGTTCCAAGGTCAGGTTTAGACTAGTGAGTCTTGCAATATTTTTATAGTACATGTGATTTTCAATTTGTACAATATGTGCAAAACATATCTATTTACATTTTGATATTTAAAAGCATAATTTATATAAAGTATAACAGCAATGAGATCAGTAGAGTACCAATGAGATCTTGCTTGCAGCGCCTTGATGAAAATCCGTGGATGTTTGATTCAGTCATTTGACGCAGTCATTGGGAATGTGCTGCCAGGCCATCAAAGAAGCTCAGGATTGCTATTTGGCTGAGGGTTGTGATTGCAATACCGAGTGCCGTCCACAAGACAAGCCACTATTTTGCCCACTCAGTGGGAAACTACGTGACCCGACGACCTTTTGGGTGGCTTGGCAGCCGCAAAACGACACGAGTAGGAAACTGCCTGGGTGAGTGCTACTCTTGATGGAAGAACTCGCCAGAGAATCACAGGTATTCAATAGAAGGCACTAATCACAATCAGTATCCTTGATTTCCAAGATGGTTTTGCCTTCAACATCAGTTTGAGTCTGAGTGTGTACACTCAGACTGACTCACTCACCTACTCACTCACTCACGCACGCACGCACGCACTCACTCACTCACTCACATGGAAGTGGAAAAACCCGTGTTTGTAGAGGAAAACAGTTTTGGCAAGGGTGACGTTCCAATTTTGACCAAGTTTGATGAATTTGAATGCGCAATCATTTGAGGCTGGGGTCATGGATGGTCTGAACAAGGGCGGTGAAACCTGTGCATCAGTCGGTGTATCTGCCGCAACCTGCTGAGCGGTGAGACCAGAGTTGAAGGAAGATGTTTATTGAAACATGCAAATTCAATTTTGTTGGTTCGTCAACTAGAATCAACAAACGTTCTCTTGCAAACAGTTGCCATCTTCCATGCTTTTGCCCAAAGTGGCTCCTTCCCTTGACTTCGGTATGCCGATTTTGGCGGACCATGCTGTGGTTGAAAAGGAGCGGGCTGATCGGCCGATCGTGGTCCTAGTCCTTTGTGGTGTACCAACGGCCTGTTTTAAGTTGCGTAATACTCTGAGGTTCCAAAGGTCTTATTGAATGACATGGCAACAACCTTAGGGTTATGTGGTTCTCGGCATCCCCTGGGTGGAAAGAGGAGTGACGATATCACGAATATCCTTCGCACAAGTTCTCCAGTTGACAACAGATTTCCTCCACATGCACCATTTTCAACCAGCCACTGGCGGAGCACCCGTCTCTCCGACAGAATTGTAACCCGTTTGTCCGGACTACCCGTCTCGGCCCAACGGTCGCCCTGAACACCGCCGCTTGGGCTCATTACGGCGGAGTCGAAGAGGCAAATTCGTCGCCTGTTTTGGGCTCCAAGAGGCAGAACTGAGCCGACTTCCCCCGAGCTCCGGATTTGGTCAGCTCGGAGTCTGAAGAACTAAGGGGAATTGTGTCCTGTGTCCTTCCTTTTGGCGCAAGAGGAGCCCCCTTAAAGTTGAAACTGGAGCGAATCCTTGACCTCAGCTAGGCTTCATTCATTTTTTTGACTTGAAGGACTTCACGTGTTAAAAATAGCTTGATAACTGAGATCCGCTTCATCCTTCAGCGGTTCCACCTGATCGAAACCGTACTGGCCATGCTGATGCTTCGACTCCTGGCGGTGCTCGGTGCTGTTGGTTTGGCGGTGCTTCTGAAAGGATGCGGGTCTGCCGGCCCGACTTTGGGTCCAAAAAACGTGTGGGTCAAAAGACTGACTTCGGGTCCAAGTGACTTGGGCCCCAAGTCTAGGAGGAACCGAGAGGAATTGTCCCATGACAAATCCTAAGTAAGTACTTTCAACTAATGTAATGATTATAATGATTGTGGCCAATGAACTGCGTAGCCAATCCTGGACCTCAACCAGCCAGGTTTCTTTTTTATTTTGACTTGAATGACTTGATGTTTTTTCGTGCCTTCAATGCAGATCTCAGGTGCGATCGTGAGAAAATCATGTCCTGCATCACCACCAAAGCAACTGCGAGCTCATCGGTGTGTGGCGAGACGGATTACTCCAAAGTCTTCAGTGGCGACACTACTGTGGCGGCCTGTTGCCAGGTAGGGTACTGTCTCAGGAGTGCGATGCAGCTTGCGATGCAGCTTGTTGGGGGTGCTATATCAATCCTTACCAAAGAGGTTGTGTTTGCTTAGGTCGGACTCGGACACACATTGGTCCAAACTACAATTCAGTCACTTTGATTGGTCAAAGCATGCGCTGCCAGGCCATCAAAGATGTTCAAGACTGCTACTTGGACGGTTGTGATTGCGACACGGAATGCGCCGAACAGGACAAGGCAGCAGGCTGTACCTGGACTGGCAAGCTGCGTGACCCCATCAGCTTCTGGGCAGCTTGGCAGCCGCAAAGCGAAAGTAGGAAACTGCCTGGGTGAGTGCTGCTCTTCATGGAAGAAGTGAAAAAAGAAAGAGACATACATCCGACATCACCCACATAATTCATGTAGACTCTTGATGAATAAACCACCCTATATGAAGAGGTATTCAATGGAAAAAGCGGGGGTGTTATTAATCAAGAGTCCACACTACCGAACCGGATCAACTAATAGAACCGGATCAAGCGCCGCTAGCTTTGGTTTTGCCAGCTTCTGTCCATGCATGAAGACGCAGATGGTGGGAAACTGCCTGGGTGAGTGCTACTGTTGATAGAATACGTCTCCAGAAGACCATGCGCATTCATAAAAGACACCGGAATCACAGTGAATTTCATATGCTGGAACTCCAAGGTGGTTTGACTTGTTAGTGTTCCCTTCAACATCAGTTTGAGTTTAGTTTTCATCTGAGGCCGGCATCATGGATGGTCTGAACAAGGGCGGTGAAACCTGTGCATCAACCGGTGTATCTGCCAGTAGATGCTACTGAAAAATGCAAATACAGTTCTGGACCTGAACATGTGTATGTACGTACACCTAGATTCCTAGATACAAGTGTTCTCAAAGATGCTATGACCTTCGCAACTGGTTGCCAACTTCCATGCTTTTGCCCAAAGTGGCTCTTTCCCCTTGACTTCGGCGGGACCAAAGGAGTCTCACATGCGGACCGCGCTGCGGTTTAAAATGCATGGCGAGCACTCTTTGGGCCGCCGTCTCTTTTCTACTTACTTTTGCCGCCGGTGCAGCCCGTTCTTTGGTTCCAAACATGCTCACCGAGCAGGAGAGACCGTGACTCATCACGCGTCGACTCGGCCGACGACGATGTGTCCAGCCTCGCGGACCCTCGCGGTGACCGCGACCCTCGCGGTGCTCGCGAACCTTCTGAAGGGATGCGCGGAGACGGAGGACGACGGTGTGGTGGCATCCCCGCGCTTTGGGATTGTTCCGTGTTTTTGGAAAATGAACCAAGAGAGGTTAAGTGAGGGGATATCCTTTTTTAGGGTCCTTCAACCTCTTTTGCCATTGCTTTTTTTTGGGGATTAAGAAATGGAACTTAAAAGAGGAACCAAACACAAAGAGCCCCAGGATGGGTTGTCGGATTCTGAATCTAATCATCTGAAATCCCCTGTGCGTCCCTTGGGACTCGGTCAGACTTGATGATGTCATCTGATGGCATGTGATGGCATGTGATCGACCTCTTCTTTGAATGCAGGCAGAGCCATGTGCAACAGAGCCATGTCCACCATCTTTAGCGAGCCTGCGTTTTCCACAGAACAGAAGAGCTCGTTTGCAAACCCTACATCCAAACTGAAGAGGACTGCTTGAAAAGAGAGACTTCCTCCACACTACACTCTCCCGATCACCCTCAGCTATCTTTCGACCTCAATCAGCGGGACATGGTCATAGACGTTTGATTCTTCTCGCCTCGTTCAGACATTGCATAAACCCGGGGCTTTTCTTTTTTGTGTCAAATGGTTCCAGTTTTTGGCTTCTCTTTTTTAGATGCGGGCGCGCTTAATTGATTCAGCCGAGTCGCTCAAATTAAGGTGTGCCCGTGACAAGATCGTCTCCTGCAACGCCGAGAAGTCCGCTTTGACCACATCGGTCTGTGGCGCCACCGAGTATTCGAAGGTCTTTGCGGGTGAAACCACTGTGGCGGCGTGTTGCCAGGCGGGTGAAGGGCCGGTTGGGCAGCTTAGTCGGGCAGCTGCTGATTGGGCAGCTGTTTGACACAACAAACCATACAAGTATACCAGGACCCTCCTGTTGGGGTGTCCGATGAACTACCCCACACTACCTGTAGGCTTCCAGACAGGGCACCCCGACAGGAGGGTCCTGGTAGGTGGTGTTCTTTTCCTTCGAAAACACACTCTTCAGCAGCATCTGCACCGAACCTGTGGGTTCAGTTCCGGCGGCCGAACAGACACGTGGTTGAAAACGCACGCTTTCCGGCAGGCGCTGAAAGAAGCCCAGGCGTGCTATTTGGATGGATGCGGCTGCGAGACCCCCCTGCGCTGCTGAGGACCAGGCGGAAGCTTGCCCGAGCAGCGGCAAGCTGAGCGACCCCATCAACTTCTGGGAGCCTCGGCCGCTTGCGCTTTGCGCGCCTTCCGCGCTCCGATCCCCACCCGACGCGGTGACCGGTTCGACACCCCTGGGGACCCATCAGAAGAAACCGAGAAGAAACCGAGAAGAAGACCCTGTTTTCGCCGTCATGGATCAATCAAGGTGCGCTGTTTGAGGACTTGGGGTGTATTGGAACTAGGGATTTGGACTCACAGTCAGATTCTCCAAAAAGCGGGTTGGGAGGTCTTTCCATTTTCGCTCACGAAAGCACCTACGTCTTCGGGTGGCGCGCGCGAACAGCGCGTACGTGCACCGAAAAGCTCTGGGAGTCGGTCAAGACTATAAAGAATGGTCTGACTAGGGGACCTGAGTACGGGAAGTTCCTGAAACCTTCAGCCGGTCAAAATATAGTCTTTGGACTTCTGGGGTATAGTTAGGCCCTCTAAAGATTGAGATTGATTAGAGCAAGAGTGTACTGTTTTTCAATCCATGGCCTTGGTGATCACATGTGACTGATTCCACACCGTTGCACATGGAACACGAAAGAAACAGAGTTAGCAGAAACTCGTCCGACTCTTACATGAGCCTTTCGCTGCAAAGAGAGATTTCAGACATGTTGACATTCTCCCACCAACCCGACTCTCTAGGTCACCACCTGCCACGTTTGTCAGTCGTCTCCATTTCAGCCACCATAAGAGAGGGGAAGCGATCCGGGACTGGGTCTTCAAGGGGCCATCCAGCTTCATGATTGTTGGAGAGGTGTATTATATATATATATATTATATTTTTACACATACACATAGGGCCCCCTCCACATGGATGAGTTCCCATATGTGTATCATAAGTTATATGCACAGGATGTACATCCTGCAAACATCATCAGAAACAGCTCTGGTTGTTCCACTATGGTGGCAGCTGGTTTTCATCACAGTTCAGACGGGTCTCTGGACTCGGACGGAGCTTCCCTTTTTCGATCCATTGCATTCTCATGGGGATGGAGACCAGGGCCAGCCTAGGCAGGATTTGAAGGTTGAAACAGCCAGTCCTCTGGCCATCTGAGGCATACATCATGGACGGGTTGAACAAGACCGGTGAGACCTGCCAAGCGGCCGGTGTATCGCCCGCCAGATGCGAGGATTGAAGGGAAGCGTTGGATCGGAAGAAAGCACAGCAGGCTTTGGGAATCCGAACGTCGCTTGAAATGTGGGTCCATTAAGCATGAAGCAACTGCAACCTCTAAGGCTGGGTTTGATGAAGGGTGCTCACATCCGTTTGTCGGCAGCGAATTCGCTGCCAGTGACCATGTGTGCTCTTTTTTTGGTGTGCTTTCTTGTTTGTGCCCTTTCGGGTGCTCTCTCTTGGAGACTCTCGGCTGCCTGTGCTCCCATATGTCCATCTCATGTACCGGTGTTCGCGGTTGGTCGGGGTAGGCAGGAACACCAACCCTCTCTCCCACCTAGCATCAATGTGTACCTTGTCAGTTTGGACAGCTTGCTGGTAACAGGAGCAGCTGCTCCCTGGTTTAAAGTTTGGTGCTGTGCCACACAGCTTTTGTTTTGGGCTTCCTTTCCTTTTGCTGGCGTCTTGGTTGGCATGCCGCTCTCTGGAGCAGGCCGACCGAGGCCACACTGGGAGGCCGTAGAGCCCTACCCAGCTTTTGCGTTGGCGAGGCCTAGGCCGAGGCCGAACTTGGGCTTGGACAGGGAGAAATACTTGCTTGAGGGCTGCGAGAAACCGTTACCAGCTGGCATCGAGCTTCCCTTGAAGCAACCAGCTCTTCGCCTGTGCAAGGGTGGTTTGCCAGGCCCTGTGAGAGGTTGCGATGACTTTGCGGCCAAGCAAGCGGTGGCCGTTCTCGCTGAAGTGAGCGCTGATGTTGTTAGGAGTGGTGCAGCCCGTAGTTTTTGGGTCAAGCCGGGCTGCCGCGCCAAATCCTGGGAGGAAGAACAGTGGCAAGCGCTCGCAAGAACTTGGGTTGGCTACTTGCAGCCACTTTTGAACTCCTCGCCGGTCTTCCAAGACTTGGGCGAGTTGGCCGAGGGTTGCTTGATTAGAGTTTTGCGGACAAAGGCAGCCGGTACCTTGCGGCGGCACCTGCCGGGTTTCAAATTATGGGTGGACTTCATCCACGGCACTGACCTGGAGACGCCGTTCGCGCGTGCAGACTTGTTGGTCAATTTCTTTGATTGCGTACAGGCGAAGCACCGTAGCGCGATCGCCCCCTGGCGTTCCCTGAAGTTCGTGGCGGCCTTGCTGGGCTGGGATCGCTTGCTGGCTACCTTAGCAAATCCTGTCGTGGTTGCTTGTTCGGGCGATGCGGCAGAGAGTAAGGAACGCAAGGAAGCTGTACCTTTGCCTTTGTATGCCGTGGCGCGAATGGAGGCTGCAGTGCTCGCTGCCTTGGCTTCGGGTCCACAGCTGGATCCACCTACACTGATGTGTGTGGTGTTCTTGGTTATGCTTTGGGGTGCGCTTCGTTTTTCTGATGCCCAGCGCGTGGCAGTGCCTGAGATGGACTTCGTGCAGGGTATTGTGCGCTGCAGATGTTGGAAGACAAAGTCCTCCAAGACTTCTATGCCTTGGGGCTGCCTTACTGTGGGTATCTATGATGATTGGACGGCAGCTGTCAAATTGCTGCGAGAAAAGCTTGGAGAGGTCGATTTCCTGATCCCTGGGCCCTTTGGGGGCCGGGCCTCGTTTACTTATACACAAGCTCAGTTGAGGCGTTTGCTCGTGTGTGTGGCCAAAGTCCCAGAGCATGCGGTTTCCATTTACACTTTGCACAGTCTAAAAGTGACTGGGCTTTGTTGGGGCTTGCAGTTAGACATCGATGGGCGCTGCCGCCGCTTGTGGGGGCATCATCGGGCGCGCGAAGCCGGTGAGGCTATGGTTCAAAAGTATGGGCGTGACGGCGTGCTGCCTGCGCTGAGGGCGCAGCTGGTGGTGGCTCGGGCAATACGTGGCGGTTGGTGCCCCTTGACCCCTCAAGCAAGAGGTGCACGCCAGCCTTGCCCTGAGGAACCTCTGGCGCCGGCGCCATCGGCACTGCGGGGGGGCTCCCTTGGGTCTGGACATCTGTGCCTCGGGCACTTCGGACACAGAGTCTGAGTCGGATGAGAATGAGTCGGAGGCGGAGTCCTCGGTGAGCAGCGTGTGCGGCGAACTGTTGGAGGCGGACGACGAAGAGGACGCGGTGCCTGGCCCAGCGCAGCTTGTTGGCGGAAAGTTTCTGGTGAATTGCCGCTCTCACAAGCTTCACGCTGTGATTCTAGCCGGTGGTTCGCTACGGCGGGCGTGTGCCCCATCTCAGTCGGTGGATGAGCCACATTGGGAGGTGCGATCGGAAGACCCGTCAACTAGCATTGGAGCATTCATACCTTGTAGCCATGCTGCATGTGGTTTGCTCTTGGGTGCGGAGTGACA